TCCAATACCTTACCGATGCCCACCCCGATAAAATAATCTTAAAGATCGATGGCGTAGGAGCATTTGACCACATCAATCGGGCCAAACTGTTCGAACAACTCATGGCTACATCAGGCTTGCATGGTTTGGTCCCCTCTGTACGACAATGGGATGTACGCACACAATACTACAAAGGGACGGGGGTGAACAAAGCAATACACTAATGCCGGCATTGTTCTGCTTGGCACCCCACCCGGCCCTGTGACATCCAGGGCAGGCTACCGCCTGGCACGGAGATGTTGGCATATCTGGACAACGTTTATGTGGTATGCGATCCAACGGAGACGGCACTCATCTTACATATGGTACAGGAATCATTACGACGGGTATGCCACATTGATGCGCTCGTTGGGAAGCTTGCGGCATGGGGCCACCACCTTGCTCCTTGCTCTCCCCACCTAGCCCAAGCAGCACGCAATGCTTGGAAATCCGACGCACTGCTCCCAGAGCGAGGTGCGAAAGTTCTCGGGACACCTTTCGGCAGTGAAAAATACGTACAAGCGTTTGGCGAACAAATCACCGAGAAGAGGGCGAAGCTATTATCATCTTTACCTAAGCTCCCCTCTCTCCAAATTGCTTGGCTCCTACTTTACTATTGTGCGGTCCCCCGACTCAATCACCTATTGCGGAATCTGTCTCCGGACAACGTCCGATCTCTTGCCGAAGCACACGATCTTGCAATATTTGAATGGCCTTCGGCCAGTGCCGCCGATCCGAGGCGCTCAAGATGCTGGTGGTTGACACGACGACGCCAGCGACGACGACGACGATGGCGACCTCGACGCCGACAACGGACGACTTACGACTGACGGGAGGAGGGAGGCGGGAGGCGGGAGGCGGGAGGAGGGGGAGGGAGGAGAGGGGAGGGAGGAGGGAGGAGGGAGAATGGGAGGATCGGGAGGAGGCGGAGGAGAAGGAGGACGAGGATCAGCAGGAAGAGCAGGAAGAGCAGGATGAGGAGGAGGAGGAGGGAGGAGACTGATTAGAACGGGGATGAGGACGAGGATGAGGACTATGATGATGATGATGATGATGATGATGATGCTGATGATGATGATGAAGATGATGATGGTGATGATGATGCTGATGTTGATGCTGATGCTGATGTTGTTGCTGCTGCTGATGATGGTGGTAGTGTTGATGATGAAGATGATGATGGTGCTGATGCTGATGCTGATGCGGAGGAGGAAGAGGAGCAAGGAATAATAGGATGGTGATGATGCTGCTGCTGACGATGATGATGATGATGCTTGCTTGCCTGCTATGCTGAGATGGGAGGTAGAGTGCGCTCTCAACTTCAACCTTGGCTCATTATCACAAACTGTTCAATTCCATAGCTCCTGCGGCTGTGGATCAAAGTGAGGGGGCGGTGGGGTCGTCGGCAGCCTGCGAGGCTCGAACACAAATTTGAAGCAACTCACCGCACATGTTTTTTGCCGTTCGTTATACAAAGGGCCCGCCGCAAGCGCCGACTTTTCGTCGGTGGGTTGTGTGTGGGGCGCGGGTGGAGCGGGGGCATCGCGGGCGAAGACGACATCAACAACACCACTAACAAACAACACAACACACGGACAACATCAAACACAACGCCCCGCACCGCGGAAACCGACTTCAAACACGCACCCACGGATTGTGTAAGACCGTTCGGACCCTCACTTTGAAATTTTCTGCGCGTTGCGTGGTTCATCAGAAGCACAATTATGGATGTACTGTTTCCCCAAACCGGGTGTTCACTGACGGGTTCAATAATCGGTCTGCACTCCAACATCTGGGTCACTGGGCGTTCGTGGGCGCCTCGACTGCGCGTCGTGTTGTGGCTGGCTTCTGTGAATGCGCACGTGGATTGTGCAACGTGGCCTGCACCACACCTAATGTATTCCACCACGTAGCTAGCATCACATACGTTTCGTAAATCTTGCGCAACATGTATGGCAACCCGTACGTTGCACCACGTAAATTGTATCGCATCTGCTATCCATCCAAGCGGACAAATCGAGTCCGCCCCCCTCCCGTGCCTGGACTTAGCGGGCCCAGCTGGGAAACTGCAGACTACACATGAGCCTGTCGCATCCTTCACTCTCTGTAGGATATCAATCCATCCCAGCTAGGTCGGTTACCACAACACCTCGCCAAAACCAATCAACTTCATGAGCGCGCTTTCGTGTATCTCAAAACCGTGTTTTCCCTAAAACCCATCGCGGCATCGATGCAACGTCCACACGTGAACGCACATGCCACACTCATGCCAAATGCATCAGTTGTGCATGCATTTCAACACGCTAGCATTGGCACTTGAGGTTTCACAACGCAGGTCATGCACGAACCCGTATCAACAAAACTCGTGCGGGTTCCACGCACGCGCCGCCACGCGCGCGTGTCTAATTCTTGCTCGAAACCATTGTTGCCAATGCATTTCGGCATATAGTTTTTCGCCAATGTATGACACCCGCATGTTTACCAACAAAAGCTGTCAACAGGTTATTGCGTTTCCGCGCGCGCACTTTTGTCCACCATGGCCCCCATCAGCGCCACCGCATCACCGCCGTTACCGTCGCCATCACTCAACCACCCCCCACCGACACATTTACATCATCATCGCCATCGTCGTCACCAACATTGGCGCCATCATGGGCCTTGTCGTCGTCACCGTCATCATCGCCACCGCCGTTGCCGACGTCACCATGATGCCGCGCGTGCCCGAATCTCCGACCAGCATCAAGTTCTATGTGCGCCTGCGCGGCCTGTGAGAAACGCTGAGGAATACCCATCGGTCAGCGCCGCCGCGGCCACGTCGGTTGTGCCAAAACAGCTGGCCGCTCTGCGCCCGAGCTTGCGCGCGCCAGCGCAGCTGTAGTAGGGATGCGCCAACCAATGCCAAGGAGTCACCGCAATCGTGGCCGCATGGGTTGTGCAAAACAAGTTGCGGGTGGGAGGCTGGGGTGATTTCGCGAGCAGCCGAATTGACACGTCAATCGTGAAATGACATTCATTCTCTGCTCTGAAAAGAGAATCATAGACTCTCCCCCCCCCGTCGTTATCCGTACCCCTTTCGGGTATGTGAATCATTTGTGATTCTGACCACATGTCCATCCTAAATATGATTTTGCACTATCCCTGGGGGGCCGGTGTCGACCCCCCTGAGGTTCAGTTTTTTTTTTTTTTTTTTTTTTTTTTTTTTTTTTTTTTTTTTTTTTTTTTTTTTTTTTTTAAAAAATAATATATGTATATATGTATATATATATATATATATATATATTAAAAACGATACGCGGGGACATCTGTTGCTCTAACATAGCATTTTTTCGCAAATCCCTTGCAAAACTCGGGACGACATGCACACGCGCGCGCCGTCGCGCGCGCATGCCGGAATCCTCCAAAAACCTTCGGTCTCGGAAAGATTTCGCAATCGAGTTTCCGCGAAACATACACAGGGTTTCGCAACACTGATTTGCTAAACAAGCTTACGCGCGAGCTCTTGCGAAACCTTAAGAAAACCATAGGTTGTGTTTTCCAGGATGTTCGCAAAATGCTACCAAACGGGCTTCGCGCGCGCATGCCGAAATCTGTCGAACGCCCTTGCGCGTGTGCCGTCGCGAGAATCCTCGGCAAAAAACGGAACGAAGTGCAGACGCGCGCGTCGTCGCGCGCGTATGCAGAAATCCTTCGAAACCCATTGGTTTCGGAAGGATTCCCAAATCGTGTGAACCTACAAAAACACAAGTTTTCGCAACACGGATTTGCAACAAAAGCGTGCGCGCCCGCTGTTGCGTCGTCGTCGTCGTCGTCGTCGTGGTCGTCGCCGTCCTCCCTCCTCCCGCGTCGTCGTCGTCGTCGTCGCCTACGTCGTCCTCTGTCTTTCCTGGTGTTCGTCGTCGTCGTCCTCTTTGGCGTCGCGGTCGTTTCCGTCGTCGTTGTCGCCGTGGTCGTCCTTCCTCCTCCTCCCTCGTCGTCGTCGTCCGTTGTCGGCGTCTCATCGTCGTCCCTCCTATTTCGTCGCCGTCTTCGTCGTCGTCGTCGTCGTTGTCGTCGTCGTCTTCCCTCCTCCCTCGTCGTTGTCGTCGTCGGCGTCGCCGTCCTTCCTCCTTCTTCATCATTCGCGTCGTCGCCGTCCTCCCTCCTCCCTCGCCGTTGTCGTCGTTGTCGCCGTCGTCGTCGGCGTCGTCGTCTTCGTCGTCGTCGACGTCGGCGTCGTCGTCGTCGCCGCCGTCGTCGTCTTCGTCTTCCCTCCTCCCTCGTCGTTGTCGTCGTCGGCGTCGCCGTCCTTCCTCCTTCTTCGTCGTTCGCGTCGTCGCCGTCGTCGTCGTCGTCGTCGTCGTCGTCGTCGTCGTCGTCGTCGTCGTCGTCGTCGTCGTCGTCGTCGTCGTGACGTCGTCGTCGTCGTCGTCGTCGTCGTCGTCGTCGGTGTCGTCGTTGTCGTCGTCGTCGGCGTCGTCATCGTCGTCGTCGTTGTCATCGTCGTCGTTGTCGTCGTCGGCGTCGTCGTCGGCGTCGTCGGTGTCGTCGTCGTCGCGTCGTCGAAGTCGTTGGAGACGTCGTCGGTGTCGTCGTAGTCGTTGTCGGCGGCGTCGTCGTCGTCGTTGTCGCTGTCGTCGTCGGCGTCGCTGTCGTTGCCAAGTGCCATTTGGTACCCACCGTCACGGTCTTAAGAGATTTTGCAAACCAAGCTGCGGGTGGGTGGGTGGGGTAATTGCGCGAGCAGTGGAGTTGACAACATCAAGTTCAGCAAGTGAATTGCACCACTTAGATTACAGCACGCAGGTCGCACCATACATCGATTGCAGCACAAATGTTGTACATCGAGAATGCAATAATGCACTGTTTTGGGTCAACGCTGGCACGCTGGCATCCGCTGTGTGCACTATGGTAGACAATTGGGTCGCATGGTCTGTCTGCTGCCAGGGGTTGCCGGCTTGAATTGAATGGTTCCTTTCCTTCTGCCCCCTCCTCTTCCATCCCTTCCCCCCGCGGGTGTAATTCAGCGTCGTTCGGAATTCCGATGAAGCTCATTCGCCCAGACATGCACTGTGCAATGTGCCGCCGTATATTGCCGCTCAAGAAGAATCCACAAACGCTGGTCTACAGTGGTGACGGGCCGCACCGACGATTGGATGGCATATGAGAGCGCGATGCGTGCCCGCATTGTTTTTCGAAAGCAACTCTCTCCCCGCATTCGGCTGTGCGCTCAAATCAAGAAGCTCACCTGATGCGGGGAAGCAAACGCCAACATATCTGACACCATGTGCAGTTCTGTTGTTGTTGCTGAGTGTGTGTCGGACGGGATAGTGAGGGCACTTCCGCCGACGCATGCAGCGTGTTATGTATCAACTTTCCGCTCCAAGTCCCTGGATTTTTTCCGTTTGCGAAAAAGTGCACAGTGTGCGTGGGGGGGTCCGTGGGCACTCGCTCCTGCTTCTTTCCAAGCACCGCGCTGCAGCGTGGTGGCGGATACGCCTGGCAATCGATCTGGTCAAAACTGTCGCGCACAGCACAGACACACCCATATATAAACATGAGTATCTGTGTACATGGATCGGTGTCTGTGAATGTATATGTACACGTGATGGTGTACATTGATATCTGCACACCTGTGTGCATATACAGATACCCATATATATATATAAATATATATATAGGTAGCTGCCAGAGATATACGAAAGATCTATCTATTAATCTGTAGAAGCAGAGAGACAGAGAGAGAGAGAGAGAACGACAGACCGAGATACTGCAACACAACAACATTAACACGCTTTGAACATATATTCGTACACGATATGCGACGCTACAACAGAGACGCTGCTGGATACCCGCCGGCCCTCGCTTGCTGGGGGTGAAATGGCGTGTGGGACATTTGGCTGTCCCCCTTTCCCCTGCCCTGGGTCCCAATGTCCTGTCAGAAGGACTTTGGGGGTGGTGGCACCAGCTCGCCAACGCACCTCCAATGCAACATCTAAATGTACTCTCCGCGGCCTTCAAGATGCTCAAGACGATCTCTAAGATGGCTCAGGAAGGGCTCAACCGCGCAGGAGAAGCCTCAAACCATCCAAGACGGCCTCTCGACGGCCCAAGAGGCGCCGAAGACGCGCAAAGAGGCACCCAAGGGGATCCCCAAGACGGCTTCAAAAGGCAACATTCATTTATTCTTCACATGTTTAACATGTTTTTCGAATTTTCGCCTGCGCGTTTCTGAAAGCCCGTAGCTGACGGCCCAAGACGTCCCCTAGACTGGCCCAAGACGGCCGAAGAGGCCCCCGAATGGGGCTTGGAGGTGGTCCAACATTGCCCTAAGACTGCCAAAGAAGGCCCCAAACACGCAACAAACATCCAAAATTGCAAGACGGGCCCAAGAGGTGGAACTCGTCGGGACCCCGGGAACCCTCCAACACAAGATGGCCCCCAAGACGCCTAACATGCCCCCAAGAGGCCCCCAACACACCTCCATTGGGCTCCCTGAGTCTCTCAGGACCCAGCTAAGCTAAGCCTCACAAGAGGTCTCCGGGGCCTCCACGGGACTCCCAGAGGGACCCGCGACAGACGCGGAGGAACAGGAGGACAAATCAGCAACAACTGCACGCAGGCAGCGCTACGGGGAGCGACAAACAACACACACTCATCTTCTTGGCGTCGGCGGAATGGCATGAGCCTTTTGCAGAAAGGATACTCGAGCAGTACCGTCAATGAAGACACGGCCCCGACCCCCAAAGCAAACTCAACACCCCTCACCTCTCTTTGCTCCTCCTTCTCAGTCCTTACTCCTTGTCCTCCTCTTCTTCTGAAAGCGCACAGAGAGGTCGCCTCTTATTGGCCGACCAGTGGAACCAGAGCGCGGAGGCAATGGCTACCTTGACTGGAGGGGGCGCTCACCTTTCTGTCCATTTGTTGGTTCTCTCTCCCTCTCTTTCCCTCACTCTCTCTCTCTCTCTTTTCCCTCTCTCTCTCTCTCACCTCCCTCTCTCTCTCTCTCTCTTTCTCTCGCCGTCATCGCATCTCTCTCTCTCTGCCTCTCCCTCTCGCTCTCTTTCTCCCTCCCTCTCCAGCTGGAAGGAGGAGCACGCCAAAAGGGGGGAATGGGGGAACACCTAGGGGAAGAAGGGGGTCAATGACAGTCCCCAACCAACATCCTGCTGATGCATCCTCGCCCCTCCCCCAGCTCCAGCTTACCTCCGCCCGCCTGCCCTGCTTCCCTCCATCCCCCCTCGTTTGACCACACTAACTAGCACGAGTGCTGCTCCCCTCTCTCCAGCTCTGCGCCTCCGCCTCTTCCGCTCCCTCCACCACTTCCTGATTCTGGAGCGCCGATGGCAGGTTGAAGGTCTTACGGCGCGGCTCCAAGTAATAGTATTTTTGGCGAAGGGGTGCAGTGTAATACAATGCAATGCAATGCAATGCAATGCAATGCAATGCAACGCAATGCAATCAGGTGCATCGCAATGCGGTGCCATGCAATGCACATGGTAACACAGTGTAGCAATGCATAGCCAGACAGTGAAAAACACCGAATCACTACAGCGCTGCCCTGGTATGTCATAGCCTAGCATTGCGTCGGACATCATCGTTTACTCGCGTACCCGGCGCTCAAGTCTGGAGGACCTGGCCTGATCAGGCGGAGCGTTCCTTTTCACAAGACAATGCGGATCACTTGGGAGCGCCTGGTTCTGTAATGCAGCTTTCGGTGGAGCGTCGTACTTCCAACTGGAACCCATTTCCTCTCCGTCCTCAGTCTCCTGTCTTCTTCCTCTTCTCGTCTCCTCCACAGTTTGCTTCGTTTCCCCTCCCCATCCTGCTCAACCTCCTGCTTTTCCTACTGTTGCTGTTGCTATTATTCTCTCGTCCTTCCAGCCTTCTCTCCTCTGTTCTTGTTCTCCTCCCCCCACGCCTCTCTCAGCCTGCCTCCTCATCCTTCTCCTCCTTCCCTCCACAACCTCCCTGCTCTTCCCTATCACATATTATCACAATGTCAACGTTCAGCATGGTAGGGCACTAGCGCACGACGACTGGACTTGAGGCTAAATTTTGCAAGGCGCCGGCAATTCTCAACAGATGTGACATGAGCGGCGGGAAGACGTTGAGGACCCCCCTCGTCCTGTCCACTCTCCCTCGTCGTCTCTGCTCCCACCCGCCCTCCTACCTCTCACGACCCTTCCCTTTTCATCATCCAGATTACATGGTGTTCTGGCTCCCTACCGTTTCCTACTGATCCACGGCAAAGCCTCGCAAAACCCGCTCTGTGTGCTTGTGCTTCTATTTCGACGGAGCGCTCTGCTCCGCGAGCACCAACCTACCAACCAGTGGGGCAGAATTTGAAGTCTCCGAACGCGTTTGGAGGTCTCCTGATACCTCCAGATGTCAAGAAAAGACCAGCAACGCTAGGCAAATGTATTACTTTCCTCCCCCTCTTCGTTGATCATGTTCCTTCAAATCTCCCTTGGGACCATGAGGTACAAAACGGACACGAACAAGAAGCTCACCATGCCCCGCACCATACTGCCTCGCGTGCTTGCAAAAGCAAGAGTTCCTCGACTGTCATGCTCTTGTCGCCACCTTGTCTCCCTCCCCAAACCTCTGGCGACTTGACGATGGTCGCGCCTTTTTTGGGTTGTCTTTTCTGTGCCGATCGGCCGCCTCTGGGCCCCAAGGCCGCCAAGGACGAGACAGACCGCTCCCAAGGAAAGTGTCGAGAGCTCCAGGGACCGGCCGCTCGAAAACACCAGATCGACAGAGGTCAGGGTCCTCCTCGCGGTCTGTTCCTCTCTCGTCCAACCCGCGTTGACAAGTCCCCCGTGTCATCGTGCTCCCTTTGTGTTCGTCGACGTTCACCTCCCGTCCAACATCCGCTCAAGGTCGGTCCCCAACCCCCCTCCCAACGTCTATCCTGGTCAATTTCCCACCCCAGACATTTTACCAATGTCCTGGGGTCCGAAAAAGGCCCCAGGACACCGAAATCAAGGACCCCCGACGAAAATCTAGGAAAACCCTCCTTCCATCCTCCCTCCGTCTCTGTTTCGCTTCTCTTTTCCCTTTAGCCTCTCTACCTCATCGGCTTCTCTTCTTCTGCGTCGTCCTCCGCTTTCTCCTGGCGTGGAATATCCATGACCCAACATTGCGTTGATGGGGGACGGGGAAGAACAACACCACCACCGCCATTGCATTGCGTTGCGCATGTACGCATTTCACCCTTTCACTAGACGAGTACCCCCAATTTGAATCGCGCCTGGTTCTTTACGCATAGAACATTCGTCGACCACTGCTTGGCATGTCTCTGGCACCCTGGGGCCTGCTGGGGCCTCCTGTGGCCTCCAAGCGCCTGCTGGTTGATGCTCGAGTAGCCCGAACAACTCTAGTGATGCTCGCAATGAACGTCACTATCAGCGTTGCAGTCCAGGCCGTCAACGCACATACGCACGCCGAAGGCTGCAAGGAGCACCACGCGCACGATGACTACGTGGTGGCTAGTGAACGCTGGTGACAGGATTTTGGGCGAGCCACTGCTGCCGCACCTGGGGCCTACTGTGGCCCTTTCGGGCCTTCTGGAATCTCGTGAGGCCGTCTGGAGCCCCCCAGGGACTCCTGGATCTTCCTGGTGCTCCCTGAAGCCTCCTGCGACCTCCTGGTGCCTCGAACTTGCCAGGGTCTCCATACGCCCCTGTGACCTGCACATCCGGCGTAACATCCGTATTCCGAACATGCTGGATCTCCCTCTGGCCTACAACGTATGTGTTTGATATCCCCCCTGGCCTTACAGCCACACGCTCAAGAACTTTTGCTCGGCGTGTCGCAACGGCGGCCAATGCGACTCGCTATGCCCTGCAAGCTGTTGGCGTGTCGCTCTGCTTCGTGGGGCGGAAGGCTGGGAACAAATCGGAACGTCGATGCATCCAACATGTGGGCGCGCTTGGCGTCTCGTGTCGAAGCGTGGTAGGCCAGAACAGACGGCGCGACGTGCTAAGCACATGCTCATGACTTTATGCTCGAACGCGTGCCACATGCATGCTGAATGCCCCCTCGCCTATCCAGTTTGACATGACAACGGGAATAACATGCATGTTGGACCCCCCAGGTATACACATCACATGATTACACACATGCCCGCCACATGTTGGATACTCCCCCATCCCTTTCCGCGTACTCGTTCATGCGTATGTTTTATTTCGCCGACCGCTACTTGACACCCCTCTGATCTAGGGCCAAAAGCCTGGAGGACACAGAGAACCCTGGGCCGGAGCCACACTCCGCTTTAAAGACAAGATGGCGACGAGGGGGAGCGCGGGCAAGGTGGATGGGGAAATTGGGATGAAGAGGAGGTAAGGATGATTGTAGACGCGAGGGCGGGAGGGGAAGGAGGAGATCTGCCAGTAGGGAGCGGAGGGAGGGAAAACATATGATTGACAGGGGGACGTGGAGGAGATGAGGGGGAGAAGGGGAGAGGAAGGATGGGGGGCGGAGACGAGGGGGTAGAATAGGATGGGGTGGAGGGGGAGGGGGGAGAAAGAAGGAAGGAAGGAAGCAGGGGAGGATCTCTCCCGATACCATCCCCTCTTGCCCCGCCCCCCATCCTCCGCCATTCCTCCTCCCCTGTAAGCCCTTCCCCATCCTCTACGCCCTACGCCCTTCCCTCCCTCCCCCTCCTTGCTCCGTCCTCCTCCCCCTCCTCTTCCTCTCTTCCCCCTCCTCCTCCTCCTCCTTCTCCTCCTCCTCCTTCTCCTCTCCTCCTCCTCCTCCTCCTCCTCGTCCTCCTCCTCCTCCTCCTCCTCCTCCTCCTCCTCCCCACCTCCCCGCCCTCCCCTGTTCCCCCCGCTCCCCCCGCTCGCCAATTCCCTCTTCACTCGTCTCTTCCCCCTTTCCCTCGCCCTCGTCTCCTCCCCCTTCCCCTCCTCTTCCCTCGTATCACCCCCCACCCCCACACACCCACCTGGACGGCTCAGGAAGCTTCGGCCTCTCTGCCAGAGATGTTCTGAAGAGACAAGAAGGAGCGCCGATGCAGCCCCAGAAGGCCCCCCCCCCCCCCCCCAGGTTCCCGGGATGGCCCCGAGACGGCCCACCAACACCGGAGAGATCCAGACACCCCCCCTGGCGGCACAAGAACACTCTACATTGCGCGCGACCGGAGCGTCTTCGCGGGCGGGGCGCACGATCGCAAGCGGGCCAGCCGACGCCCCCAGGAAGCATGCCTTCTCCCTATCGTTCTGGGCGGCCTGGCTGGAAACAACCCGAAAGCAACCATCGCGGAAACCGCGCGCGCGGCCCACCTCTCCTCGCCAGAGGCGGGAGGGTCCCCCTGGATCCGGGCCTCCGTGCTCCGCCTCTGGCTCCTGGCCGGGGTCGGAGGAGGAGGGGGAGGCGGAAGAGGAGGGAGGAGGAAGAGGAGGAGGAGGAGGAGGAGGAAGAAGAGGAAGAGGCTGGAGTAGGAGAAAGGTCGAGTAGGAGAAAGAGCTGGGAGGAGGCAGGGGGAACGAGCAGGAGGTTGAGGCAGAAGGAGAATGAGGTGGAGGTGTGAACATGCATGAGGAGACATGGAGAGGCAGGCGGGGAGAGGAAGTCTCTTCCTGCTCCTCGTCCCTCGTCCCTTCTCTCTCTTTCTCCTCCCTCTATCTTCTCATCCCACGCCGCGGGCGGGGAGGCAGGGGGCGGAGGGCGGAGGAAGAGCAGGAGGGATGGGAGGGGGACGAAATGGGGGTGGGGGCTGCGAGAGGACGATGATGATGTTGTTGTTGATGATGGTTCTGCAACTGATGATACTGATGGCGGTGATGATGATGCTGATGGTGATGACGATGCTGCTGCTGATGCTGGTACGGCTGATGATGCTGCTGCTGATGATGACGATGCTGGTAATGGGGATGAAGATGGCGATGATGATGCTGATGATGAAGATGATGGTGCTACTGATGGTAACGATGAAGCTGGTGATGGTGACGGTGGTGCTTATGCGAGCGATGCTGATACTGATGACGGTGATGATGATCATCTTCCATTACTTGTACCAAATAATGTCTTTGCTTACTGGGGGCGAGGGCGACTGCCTCGCCGGCAAGATACGCAACATAATATGGACATTGCAGCAGCCAAACTCGAGCGACCAACACTTGGCATACTTGCATTCCCTGGCCAACAAGCCGACCACATTAACAAACACATCAGCATCACAACACGAGTCTAGCTTCTCTTCACCAAGATTCGCTGCACATTTTACACTCCAGGCGAGAAACTTCGGCAACCTCGTTGCCCTCAGCCGTGAGTCCGCCCATCGCTGCATCCGTGCTTCCAGCCCCAAATTTCGGCTTAGCATCAACGACGCTCGAACCGATGCCGGAGGTCGGATCTCCCCTTGCCGCGCGGGAAAAGCGCGGCGTCGCCTTGACCGACCCGTCAGCCTCCGATGATACGGAGGTGTCGCCGCCCGAGACGGAGGAGTCAGAGTGAATGGCGTAGGTCTGGTTGACTGACGCCGGTAACGGGGGCCGTGGGGCCCCCGGGCTGCCGTGCCACTCCGCGTCGTCCTCCTCCGCGAGATCGCCGCCCCGCGGGGTGTCTGGGCGGCCCGCGCCACGGCTCGATGGCGAGCCTGCGCGGCCAGCGGAATCTGGCCTGCTGAGCTTCTGTTGAAGACCCGCGGCGGCGCCAGTGACACTTTCACTGGACGCCGCCGAGAGGGTCATCTCACCCAGGTTTAATTCATCATGCCGAGGTACGGTAAGTACGGGCCCAGTACCCTTCCATCAATAAACATTAATCGGGCCCATCATCATTCCGTAACGCAAATGTCACGTTATCGTCAAATATGGGCGCCGCCATCCTTCTGTTGGAGGGTATGGGCGGCGCGGCAAAATTATGCGAGGGGAGCGCTAATAATGACTGATCGAATGCAACCCGTAGCCCATGCCCATGCTGATCGCGACCATCGGCATGGCAAAGAACGCGCCAGGCACGGTAGGCCAGTAGTTCACCAAGGCGACCTGGCCCACGGTGGACACAGCGCCTCCAATCATGCCGCCTCCACCCGTCGAAACCTGCTGCCAGCCTGGTGTCTCCCACTCGCTGAATAAGCTTCCGATCCAAGCTTCCACGAAGGTGAGGTGCAAATTTTTTTTGGGGGGGCCGCCGGTATCGTCCTCGTCATCACGCGGCGGCTGTGGGTCCTCGGGCCCAGGATGCCAGCTCCTGGCGGCCTCCCTCCGGCGTGCGAACCAACCTCCATCCCGCGCCGCTTCCTCCTCGTCCTCCTCCTCCTCCAGTCGCTCCTCCGCCCGGGGCTCTTGCACCGTGACCTCCTGGCGCGGCTGCGGCCGGTCAGCGCACCCCCTGGCTCGAACTCCCTCCTCCTCCTTATCCTCCTCCTTATCGTGCTGGTGCTATTCATCGTGCATGTAGTCGTCATCGTTCTCCTCCTCCCCTGATGCTGCTCAACTGTTCCCTTCCTCCTCCTCCTTTTCAGATTCCTCTCGTTGTCTTTCTCCCTCCTCCTTCCCTTCCTCCTCGTCCGCCTCCTCCTCCTCCTCCTCGTTCTCGTTCTCGTTCTCCTCCTCCTCCTTTCCCGCTCATCCCAATCCTTCTCCAGCTACTCCTCCGCATGCACCTGCCCCACATCTGTCTCTTCATACACTTCCTATTCGTCGTCGTCGTCGTCGTCCACATTTTCCTTCCTCTTATCCTCCTCGTCCTGCTCGTCGTCGCCGTCGTCCTCGCCCTCCCCCTCCTTCTCTTCATCCCCTTTCCTTGTCCTCTTTACCTCCCCCTCTCCCCTCCTCCTGTTTTTCATATCCCTCCCCCGCCTACTCCCCATCCTCCTCCCCTCTGCCCCTCCTCCTCCTCCTCCTCCTCCTCCTCCTCCTCCGACTCCCCTCCTCATCGTCCGCCTCCTCCTCCGCCCCCTCCTTCTCCTTCTTCTCCCCCTCCTCCTCCTCCTCCTTTTCCTCCTCCTCCTCCTCCTTTTCCTCCTCCTCCTCCTCCTCCTCCTCTCCCTTACGTCCTTCAGCCACCGCACGAAAATGGGCGCCTCGGGGGCCCTCATGTGGTAGATCGCGGCCGCCTCGCTCGGGCGAGGAAGGGGAGGAGGAGGAGGAGGAGGAGGAGGAGGAGGAGGAGGAGGAGGAGGAGGAGCAGGAGCGGATGCAGTTGGTGATGACGGTGTTGATCGTGATGGTGATGGGGATGCGGATGAAAATGGTGTTGATGATGATGATGAGGGTGATGATGAGGGCCGGTCTGACAACTGATGGTGATAATGATGATGGCGATGGTGAGGGTTGCGGCGATGAAGTTGATGGTCGTCTTCATCATACCTGTGGTGTGCATATGCGGACGAAAAAACGTATGATGATCGTGGTTTCATGCTCGAGGATCGTGGCTCGAAGATCGAGGGTCGTGCTCCAGGCTCGGTGATGCTGTGGCTGATGATTCATGTGCGGGCAGGGGTTCTGCCAAGTCTGATGATGACGTTGCTGGCGAGTATGATGCTGTGGATTCCTACGGGTGGTTTGAAGACGGCGCCGGTGGGATGGTAGTGATGCGAGTGCGGATTGGGCTGAGGAGAAGGGAGGACAACGAGGTTACGGCAGCGACGCACGTACAGGATGATCAGGAGGACGATGGCGGCTGGCGGTGCAATTAATTGAGGCAAGGCGAACAAGTGTCCGACACTGACGCTTGCCAGCTCCTCCTCTTCCTGCTCCTCCTCTTCCTTCTCTCCCTCCTCCCCTTCTTTTCTCCTCCACTTGCTCTTCCACCTCCTCTTATTTTTCCTTGACGCGGGGCCAACACCTGGTGCCGAACACATGCAGGCAGGCAAACGAACACTTGACAATCAGAGATTGTGTGCGGGCTCCGTAGCTCTGCCAGCGACTCAGCCTGGGCCGAGGGCCGAGGGGTCACCCACGAGGGCGCAACTTTGCCCCAACGCCGGGCTGGACGTTCACGGAGGATTTTCCCTCAGGACCCCAGGCCAGCGCGAAACCGGGCAACGAGGGCGCGGCGCGGGGGCGCCCAGAGCGGCATTCAGCGGCCTGCCCAGCGGCGGCGGCGGGGAGCAGGTGGCGGCGGCGGCGGTACTGCGGCGGGACGGTGCCAGCGGCCGGGGCTTACGCCGTGCCCAGACCAACTGTCACCGCGGCGTGTGCCTCTCACGCCAAATTCGCGGCGACCGCCACCCATGCCACGATGTCCAAGCCCGCGCGCAGTCCGGTGATGAGATGGCTGGCGGCGAGAATTCCGCCCACGTCGTGCCGCGCGCGAGCTCGCGAACCCCTTCCTCGGTATGGCGGCACCCTGGAACCCGTCGCGGGAGATGACCTCCCCGCACGGCGCGCTCGTAGCTCGTAGCTCCTCCTCCTCCTCCTCGTCCTCCTCCTTCTCCTTCCTTCTCCTCTCGCGTGTTCTCCCGCGCACGTGGGGTTGGAGGTGGTGCTGCTGGTGTGAGATCCCATTCGTACCAGGGTGCCTGACATGTGCGGCAAGCTCGTGTCGTGACGACTTCTTCTGAAGCCGTGTGGATGGTTCAACCTTGAACGATCGGCGTTTTTTGATTGCGAGGATCGTTTGATATCGGCCGATTTGGGACCGCTGACGGCGTTCAACCTTGAACGCCGGCGGTGGGTCGCCGCCGCGTCGGTACGACACCAACCCGCCGTAACTGGAAGAAGTCATGTCGTCTTGCGATTAGCACCTCCCGGATCTATGATAAAGCTCAGCTGCCGAACACGAGCACCCGAGTGACAAGAGGAACACGTCAACAATCGACCTGCGTACCTGCACCGCCAGCCCTGCCCATGGATTGGCGAACGCGCTCTCCCGGCCGAGTCGGGGGGGGGTCGTATGACCGATTCTTGGCCCAGAGTCGGCCTGGCCAGGATCGGCGCATGCGGATACAGTCGAGCTACTACAAGCGTTTCCAACTTTACGGTTGAAACGGTGGAAGGTATCATTACAACAGATTACTGTGTAACATGTTGGGTGCGCAGCTGCTGGATAAACATACGTTACCTTGTCATGCCGTGTGCCGTATGGCGTACAATCATCTGATGTACGCACACATGTTACCATAGCGCGGATCACGCAAACCTGTCTGATCACAGTGTGGCATACCATGTCATATGTTAGTCGAGCTCATGGTGGAAAACCAGGCGTTGTGCACAAGCACATTTGATTCACACATTCGCCTGAACATAAACATGAGCATGTGCTACATCGCAATGTCGCATGTCATGTTCACACGTGCTAAATTGAGCACAGCCCCAGCATATCCCGCATCATTGAGCCATACCGCATCTGGGTATTACTTTCCCCCAGGCGCAGCCCGCACGGCGCTTCCCCGTCCCCGGCGCTGCCAAGGCACCAGCGCCCCCTCCCGCGACGGGCGGCACAGCCCCGCTTGGGGGAAAACCTCCCATACAATGCTAGAAATGCGCGACGCCTCATCTCCCCCGCCGCCCACTTCTCGCCATGCTGGAGGAATACTCATGTAAGGGCCCGAGGAGCAGCGAGTCCCTTCCCAATTCGAACTGTGCCTTATCTCAGCATTTTGCCTGTAGTTGGCGCCCCCAATGATAAGCTCCTCATGCTCCGCCAGCCACTGCAGACCCTCCTGCAGCGACCCACGCGCCCGTACCCTCTTACGGGGCTCCCTGGCGCCGCACAAGAACAGGACAGGCAGCGGCAGCAGGCAAGGAGGGGAAGATGGAGGCAAGAAAGGAGGCAGAGAAGGAGCCGGGATGGATATAGGCGGGATGCGGCAGTCCCCTGGCTTGACTGCAAGGGCTCTCGTCTCTGTCACCGCGTGAACAGTCCCCAGAGGCGGCCGACCCACCTTTCGGACGGATCCCACGCCGCAAGGCGTCAACTGTGTGCCCTGGGTTCCGAAACGAGTCCCCCTCCCCGAGGGTGTGCAAGAGTCGCCGCCGCGTCAAGCCCGCGCGAACCTGCCACATATTGGCACGTCCGAAGTGGGGACATCAAGCATGTCCGATTCTGGAATCACTGAACCTAGAACAGATTGACGTCATCCCGTCAGAACTTCCGCCGAAATTGCGCCGCCATATCCGCCACCGTTTACTTCTGCCGGCTTCCGCCGAGGGCGAGGATGCACCGAAAGCGAGGCCCTGTCGACAGAAAGAAAGAGGCGACCGATGCCACAGCGACCGTGCCGGGTGGCTTACGCGGGCCGCCAGCGTGGCCGCGTGGGGAAAAAGGTGGTTACGCGCGAGCCCACGCGGGAAGCTTCGGTGCGAATGTCCGCGCAATCGACCCTGGTTTTCTTCCGTTGCTCAAAATGGGGACGATGCCTGAGAGCAAATCTTGTACAATGTGCAGAGCGGTCTGCCCCTGGGCAGGCGGCGAGCCCGCTCGTATTCCACTCGAGGGGGCAGATTCAAACAGAAGGCCGAGGCAGGGGCCAGGGCCAGGGGGGGGCGCAGACAGGAAACCGCACGCTCCAGGGCGGGGTGGGTTTCGGGCCACCGTCGGCGATACATGGGCTACTATTGGCGGCGCGCACAAGGGGGTAGAGGGAGAGGGAACGGCTTCTTAGAAGGCGGCTTCCTCTTAGAAGGCGCCAGCAGCCCATCTAAGAGGCCAGGGGCGCGCCGCTTCTTAGAAGCACCCCAGCAGTTTATCAAAGCATGGAGCTGGTTTTAATAAGCAAGAACACCGTCTTAGAAACAGACTACCTGCTTCTTAGAAACACGCCAAGAACATATTCTAAGAAGGAACCCCAAGCTTCTTAGAAGCGGCGCCCACGTCTTCTAAGGAGAGGGGGTGCTTCTAAGCAGCCTTGCCCCCTCCCGCCACCCTTTCTGCGCGTGGCTGATATTTTGCGTCGATGCGTTCCCCCTTGAGCCTATGCCCACCTAGCGTTGCCCCTGACTACTGCCGCTCATTACCCCTCAGTCCCTCCGACCCCGTTTCGGCCCTCTCGAGTACGGCAGGTTCGTGTCATGACGTCTTGTGCATTATTTTCTGACGCCGCGTGGATCGTCCAACCTTGAACGGTCGTGGCTCTCCAGCAACCAAGAGCGTGACATGTTGCCCGTGTTCAAGTCGCCAGTGGCCTTCACCCTCGAATGCCCGAGTTGGAGTCGCCGCCGCGTCGATACGACACGAACGTACCGCAGAAGGAAGAGGGGGGAGGGAGGAAGGAAGGATGAGAAGAGGCGAGCGAACGGGCCAGGCGCAGAGAGGGCGGGCGCGGTGGCCTGGCGCACCGCATGCCTGAAGGACTCGTACGTCTCCGAAGTGCTCTCGCCCGAGTCCGCCGAGATCACCGCGCCGGCGCGCGCGTCAGGGTCCAACGCGTCGCCGCATCGGAAGTCCCGCAGGCGCCCGCAGCAGTCCGTGCCCGTGGCCCAGAACCCAGCCTCGGCCAGATCCTTTTGGCGTGGAGGAAACGGGTCCCGAGGGAAACCGGTCCTGGACCCCGGGGGCAGTACAGGCTCTTCATCCTGAGTAGTTTTGAATTGTCCCGGGCCCTGTGGAAGCCCCGGGAACCCCCAAACACACAAAAAAACTCAGGACCCGTTTCCCTCTGGACCCGATTCCGTTCATGGCCA